ATCGCCACATTGGAATGAACCATCAACTTATCCAGCACATGTTTTACATAGCAGATGGCCTTCCAGCTGCAACCCAGTACTACTGGGAAACATACAAACACACTCATACACTACAGACAATTTAGCTTACCCAATTCCCCTATAGCGCATGTGTTTGGACTGTGAGGGAAACCGGAGCACCCGGAGGAAACCCACGCCAGCACTGAGAGAACATGCAAACTCCACACAGAAACACCCTCTGACCCAGCTGGGACTCGAACCAGAGATCTTCTTGCTGTGAGGCCACAGCGCTACACACTGTGTGCATGCAAATATTAATATATTAATGATTCAGTCGGGAAGTAATACTACTTAAATTAAACACTGTGATGACAGACTGACAACAATAATGACACAAACACCCTCACACACATTTATATCTGTTAAATCAGCAGAAAATAAATCGCATCACGCAGGCTGATCAAGCTCAGGCGCACACTTCACTCACTAAAGTTTATCCCCTCAGCTGTGTGCATACTCAGCCCGCACAGGACGCCTATAGACCATTTCGAGAGATGTAAACAAAAACAAATGGTCCCTGTGTGTTTCCTGATTTATATTTTGAATTTCTATAGCTTACGAGAGTCCAAAAAGAGCCACATGCTGATAAATAATGTTATGATTGCTGTTTAATTAGTAAGTTATTGAATTGCCTCTTGCTACAGTTATGAAATAGTTTGATAACAAGTGGAAATGTTTATGGGACAAAGACATGAGCACACTGAAATGGTCTGTATGATGTCAGATTGATGTACCTCAGCATCATGGGACATTGTGTTTTGGGTGGAAATGAAAATCGGGTTGACATCAGAACCAAACGTCAGACTGATGCCAGTGTCCAATGTCGGACAGACGTTGCATTTTGGTTACTTTCCAACGCAACCTAAAAACAACCAAATGAAACATGATGTTACAGCTTGATGTTACCACTATGACGTCTATCAGACGTTGAATTTTAGTTGCCACACCTGACGAATAAATGTCAGACGTCAGTATGACGCTGGTTTAAGATGTTGACTCAACGTTTGATTTTGGTCACTTACTAACGCAACCTAAAAACAACCAAATATCAAAGTCATCATACATTGTTATTAGACATCTAAATAAAGAACACTAGATTTTGGTCAGGGGCGAGGCAGTGGCGCAGTAGGTAGTGCTGTCGCCTCACAGCAAGAAGGTCGCTGGTTCAAATTTCAGCTCAGTTGGTGTTTCTGTGTGGAGTTTGCATGTTCTCCCTGCCTTCGCATGGGTTTCCTCCGGGTGCTCCGGTTTCCCCCACAGTCCAAACACATGCGGTACAGGTGAATTGGGTAGGCTAAATTGTCCGTAGTGTGTGAATGTGGATGTTTCCCATTGTTGCGTTGCAGCTGGAAGGGCATCCGCTGCGTAACAACTTGCTGGATAAGTTGGCGGTTCATTCCGCTGTGGCGACCCCGGATTAATAAAGGGACTATGCCAAAATGAAAATGGATGAATTTTGGTCACCCAACATCACCACCTAAATCTCACCTAATCTTGATGTCTTATGACGTTGTGTGCCTGCTGGGTATGTTCTTGTGTGAACATTTTCAAAATGTATCGGTTTCTATTGAGTAATTTTAAAGCAATTTTCCAGAATGCACATAAAGGAAGGTGAATACCAATATCAACAGCCTATGGTAATGATTCTCAGTCACATCCCAGATGTACATTTCTGATTCACAGAATGTTCTGGAGTTCAGCACGGCAAACACAGAACATTACTCCCATTTAGTTTCCCTTATTATTAGGGGCCAAGCACCGTAGGTGCGTAGGCACCTATTGCTTTCGTTAGTGTTCTTCTTCTTCTTCTTCCGTTTCTTCCGCCAGATTTGAATGGCAGCCCATATAGGCGTATGCGGGAAAGTTGTATAATTTGGCACAATGATAGAGGCCAGTATTAACATTAATCAGACCAAACATGAAGTCTTAAAATCAAACTCTCTAGCGCCACCACTTGTCCAAACTTTCACATACGTTTATCATGATAACTTTTAAACCAAATGGGCTACAATCAAATTTCTTTTTTTCTCTGATTCCTTGGCTCAGTCCGATTCAAACGCACCCTATGACGTCATTTTCCGTCATGAATTTTTTCGCGCTATTTTAAATTTTTCGAAAAACCTACTTAATCGAACTCGTCCTAGGCCGTTTCTCCGATTTTCACCAAAATTTAATCACATGATCTACAGACCATGCCAACCAAAAGTTATGGAATTCAAGTTGATTTGACCAACGTTTTCGTTTAACTTGCGATCAAATTTAACGAAGGACTTGCAAAAATGGACTTGAGACGATATCTCCGCAACGCATTCACCGATTCACACCAAACTTGGTGTGTGTTATGACAACTAGGGTCTGAGGTTACATGCAGAGTTTCGGCGCACTGCCCCCTAGTGGTCCAGAGATACAAAAAACTTGTTTTTTGGCTTATAACGTCTCAACCTTTCGTCCGAAACTCATAAAACTGGTGTCATTACATCCGGCAGAGCATGTCAAGTCGAATGATGTCTGATTTTCACAGGTCAGCCATTTTGGGCGTCGCCCATTTCGATTTTTGGCCAAAAATGCTATATTTTACCAACATATTCACATATCATTACAAAACATGGTAAGCATCTGGCACAATGATAGAGGACAGTAATAACAATAATCATACCAAATGTGAAGTCTCAAAATCAAACTCTCTAGCGCCACCACTTGTCCAAACGTTCATGTATGTTTATCATGATAACTTTTGAACCAAATGGGCTACAATCAAATTTCTTTTTTTCTCTGATTCCTTGGCTCAGTCCGATTCAAACGCACCCTATGACGTCATTTTCCGTCATGAATTTTTTCGCGCTATTTTAAATTATTCGAAAAACCTATTTGATCGAACTCGTCCTAGGCCGTTTCTCCGATTATCACTAAAATTGAATCACATGATCTACAGACCATGCCAACCAAAAGTTATGGAATTCAAGTTGATTTGACCAACCGTTTTCGTTTAACTTGCAATTAAATTTAACGTAGAACTTGCAAAGATGGACTTGAGACGATATCTCTGTAACGCATTCACCGATTCACACCAAACTTGGTGTGTGTTATGACAACTAGGGTTTGAGGCTATATGCGGAGTTTCGGCACACTGCCCCTTAGTGGTCCGGAGATACAAAAAACTTGCTTTTTTGGTTTATAACGCCTCAACCTTTCGTCCGAAACTCATGAAACTGGTCTCATTACATCCGGCAGAGCATGTCGAGCCGAATGATGTCTGATTTTCACAGGTCAGCCATTTTGGGCGTCGCCCATTTCGATTTTTGGCCAAAAATGCTATATTTTACCAACATATTCACATATCATTACAAAACATGGTATGCATCTTCAACCCCATGTCCTGAAAGTCCTTAAAAACTTCTGGAGCAGCGCCACCTTATGGTCAAAAGTGCTTGGCCCCTTAATTGCTGCTTGCAGCTATATTTATTATTATTATTATTATTATTATTATTAAATACTAACCTTTCCAGAGCTCTGAGGTTATTTAGAGAAGGTTTGCTAGGAATGTTCTCCTGACAGTGAGGGAACATTCCTGGAAAACCAGCAGAGACATTCTTGGGCTGTGTTCCACTTTTAGGGTGCTTTCACACCTAGACTTTTGTTTCTGAAATTGTCTTATTTGCCCAGTTAGAGCGGTTCGTTTGGCATAAGTGAATCCAGAAATGGCGTTTAGATCCGCGCCAAAACAATCGGTCTGAGATTGCCTGGATGAGGTGGTCCGACTCAATAGAAACAAACTCTGGAGCGGATCGATTGTAGTGAGAAAGCAATAAGATCCAATCTAAGCTATATCACAGTGTATTATGCATATTCATCCATTCATTTTCTTGTCGGCTTAGTCCCTTTATTAATCCGGGGTCGCCACAGCAGAATGAACCGCCAACTTATCCAGCAAGTTTTTTACGCAGCGGATGCCCTTCCAGCCGCAACCCATCTCTGGGAAACATCCACACACACATTCACACACACACACTACGGACAATTTAGCCTACCCAATTCACCTGTACCGCATGTCTTTGGACTGTGGGGGAAACCGGAGCACCGGGAGGAAACCCACGTGAAGGCAGGGAGAACATGCAAACTCCACACAGAAACGCCAACTGAGCCGAGGTTCAAATCAGCGACTCAGCGACCTTCTTGCTGTGAGGCGACAGCACTACCTACTGCGCCACTGCCTCACTGTATTATGGATATGTCATAGGCATATATGCAGCTATATGAAGAGAGAATTATGAGTAGGGTGGGATGTCATCATTCCTACCGGTAAATGTGCATTTCATGTCAAATACGCAAATACGCATGCTGAAACATTAACGACAGCTGTTTATCCATTAATAAGTTGACTGAACAGCAGTCTTGGTGTATCTGTTATAATGTAAAGCCCATAATGCATAATTCTAGCCAACGGCTATGTATGAGAAAGTCTTACCTCTGATTTATATTTGGTGATGATGTCTGTGGGTGTCAAAATAAAGCGCAGCTTATCGCTTATAATGTCTTATTGCTCATCATCATAAATGAGCAATATCACACTGCTACACCATTATACAGCAGTTCGACAGCACAATCTTGTGTATAAAAATAAAGAGATATCTCCCTACAGTCTATTACAGTCTAGAGTATTTCTCTGTTGCCATCGGTATTGCGACGGATGCCAGGTGTCCCAGCGTTTACCCGGAGACTTTATGGAATAAAAAAGAGACAGAAACTATTTTGCTCTTTCTTATCTATTGGCCTTTATGCGCTTCTCCAAAGTGCTGTCGACTACATACATGCCAGTCAACGATAATGAGTAGACAAAAGGAAAAGAAAAAGACACTCAAACATCCATCGCAATGTAAAATGTTACGTTATTGAAATAAAAGAATGATACAGCGGTAGAGCGACCATCACACACTTCTCCTCAGAGCTCGCTGAACTGAACTGAGCTCCCATACATGCGTGCTTACATCCCAAAGGTAAAACAACTAGAGAAGTCCTCTTAAAGGGGACATTTATACACAATGCATATCAAACATTAGGAGATTGTTACAATATCTCAATAATTAACCTCGAACAGAGCAATCACTATCAGACTGCTGTTGTGTTTGCGATAAGGAGGGACGAGGCTGAATCCAGCTTCTTATTCGCAGCTTCTTATTGACTCTATCTGGTCCACCTTAAAAACCACGAGGCTTCCGTTTGTCAGCTTCTTATCCACACTTAAAGCCTGGTTAATACTTCTGCGACGGGCATGACCCACAGTGCATGCAACGCGCGTGGCTGTGCATTTATACTTCTGCGCGCTGTCTCTGTCGGTCTGCATTAACACTTCCGAAATGCTAGTTGGCAGTGAGGTGTAAATGTTCCTCTGTGTCGAGTTTCTTCTCTGCTGTTTTGCTTTTTCTGAACACTTCCTGGATGTACAAGTGGCTCAAACTCGCTGAGGCAGGAACCGGCGGGCGTGCAACAACTTTAACTATGAGGTAAACACAAAACAAAACTTTCCATCCGGAGCTCCTTCACGGGACTCCACACTTGTAAACAATAGCTCCATTGGGCTCACGTCCAGCTCGCGCCATTCGCGCGGCTCTCGGTCCCGCCCAGACTCATCAGCGCTACCAAGCCGACCAATCACAGAGCTTGCGCTACGCGTCGTTGCGACGTGTAGTTACAATTTTTGAGAGGTGCACAGCAGCGACGCCGACGGCCACAGCGAAGGGCTATGCGTCAGCGCCGTAGCATACGCTGGCGTTTGACGCAGAAGTATAAATCAGCCTTAAGAAAAAACACTAGGCAGGGGCTTATTATGTGGTTCTGGCGCCATCTTGTGGATAGACAACGTCAACCATCAATGGCTGCAGATGAGCTTTTGCAGAAATTGTAAATATTTTAAAATAGGCACCATTCTTTCAAATAAACTGCATAGTTGCAGTCCAAACAACTACATTCTCCACTAAAATAGCCTCAAAAGTCCATTGTGTTGTCTAACAACAGTAACATTTGTCAAACTGTAGCGTCTCTGCTTGTTGCTGGCTGTATGTGGGCGGAGTAATACACAGTGAAGGGTGAAGAGGCCTTAGTGTGATGTTACTGGCAAAATTAGAATCAATCCACAGGTGTAAAAGCAGCCTTAGACACACTCTGACAAACTTCCCTTCCTTAGTTATCCAACTCGGATGCGGTAATTCGCTGTGTTATTGCTTTTGAATGATTGCTCAGAATTTCATCATCCATACTAAAATCCTTCATTATTAAAACCATTGCGATAGTAATATGGGTACTACACTGTGCAGTGCTACTGGAAGTGTTGTGTGTCTGATCTGACAGCATCATTATTCTGTATAATAATCAGCCGGTTCTGCAGGGATGACGGATCTTTCACAGTCAGCAATGTCCCGTCTGGATCATATGTTCTGGAAATCTCCTCACCGACCTACAGATTCCTGCCGGTGCGAGTGGACATCACCTCCGCAGGGAAGATGAGGTGTGTGTGTGTGTGTGAGGTATTGACTGCAGTCCTGCGGGACCAGGTCTGATGGATGAATGCGGGTGCGGGCGATGAGGTCCTCCTCTCTGCACTCAAAATATGGCTTTTGCTGCTTGCTTAAATGATCTGTGATTCTTTTGTGAGCCCTGCGTCAGAATAAAGCCATGTTGGTCAATTAAAGGAGAGAAGTGCGCATACTGACGCTTCTGAAAATCTTTCGTACATGTGGACATAGCCTGAGTCAGTCCTGATGGTGTGTGTGTGTGTGTGTGCAGGGCTCGTGTGGTGAACTACATCCAGACGTCAGAGGTGATCCTGCTGCCGTACCCGCTGCAGATGCGGAGTGTTGGTCTGCACCGATTCTTCACGGAGCGCGAGAGCTGGGGATGGACAGACTTCATCCTCAACCCCATGGTGCGCTACTTTAATTCATTACATACACAGTTATCAAAGTCAGAATTATCAGCCCTCTTTTATTTCTTCTAATCATAATAGTTTTAATAACTCATCTCTAATAACTGATGTCTTTTCTCTTGGTCAGGATGACAGCACATAATATTAGACTAGATATTCTTCAAGACACTTATATACAGCTTAAAGCCACATTAGTAATTCATTATTTTTTGTAGTGACTTACCCAACACTTTTGTCATGTTCTGGTAGGTGCTCATGATGGTTCTTCCTCTCCTCGTCATCCTCCTCCTCCCGAGAGTCTTCAACCCCAGCGATCCAGAGATGAGACGGGTATGTTTATTTATTAACTGTTAATCAATATCTGTTCATTCAGTATCAATTCATCCACTCCACATGAACACATCACTCTGACTAGCTGTTATTCACATCCAAAGATGTGGATTAGACTTATGCACAAAACTGGAATATGGCATAAAACATTAGTGAGTAAAGTGAAGCAGTGTTTCCAGTCAATAAGAAACAGTAGAGCTCCACCTCCTCAGCTCCTGCTGCTCACACACACATTTATATCTGCAGACCAACATTAATGACGCAAAGACCCTCACACACACATTTATATCTGCAGACCAACATTAATGACACAAAGACCCTCACACACACATTTATATCTGCAGACCAACATTAATGACACAAAGACCCTCACACACACACATTTATATCTGCAGACCAACATTAATGACACAAAGACCCTCACACACAAATTTATATCTGCAGACCAACATTAATGACACAAAGACCCTCACACACACATTTATATCTCCAGACCAACATTAATGACACAAAGACCCTCACACACACACATTTATATCTGCAGACCAACATTAATAACACAAAGACCCTCACACACACATTTATATCTGCAGACTAGCATTAATGACACAAAGACCCTCACACACATTTATATCTGGAGACCAACATTAATGACACAAAGACCCTCAAACACACATTTACATCTGCAGACCAACATTACTGACACAAAGACCCTCACACACACATTTATATCTGCAGACCAACATTAATGACACAAAGACCCTCACACACACATTTACATCTGCAGACCAACATTACTGACACAAAGACCCTCACACACACATTTATATCTGCAGACTAACATTAATGACACAAAGACCCTCACACACACATTTACATCTGCAGACCAACGTTACTGACACAAAGACCCTCACACACACATTTATATCTGCAGACTAACATTACTGACACAAAGACCCTCACACACACATTTATATCTGCAGACTAACATTAATGACACAAAGACCCTCACACACACATTTACATCTGCAGACCAACATTACTGACACAAAGACCCTCACACACACATTTATATCTGCACACCAACATTAATGACACAAAGACCCCCACACACACATTTATATCTGCTGATCAACATTAATGACACAAAGACCCTCACACACACATTTATATCTGCAGACCAACATTAATGACACAAAGACCCTCACACACACATTTATATCTGCAGACCAACATTAATGACGCACGCAAAGACCCTCACACACACATTTATATCTGCAGACCAACATTAATGACACAAAGACCCTCACACACACATTTATATCTGCACACCAACATTAATGACACAAAGAAAATAAGATGTTATTTTATGTGCATTTTCCAAATTTATGGGCATTTTTACCATGAATATATTCCAAAATGTATTAAAATAGGTGTATAGAAATACATATAGAAAATAGGTGTATAGAAACCTAAATACTGACCACCTGATTGGTTGACAGGAGATGGAGCAGTCCATGAACATGCTGAACTCCAACCAGGAGCTTCCAGACGTCTCTGAGATCATGACCAAGATCTTCACACCGGCCAAAGGTCATGGGAGGGCAGTGGGCGGAGCCAATGGCCCTAGGAGCAGAGCTCAGGGTCAGAGGGGTGGAGCTGATGATCAGAGAGGTGGAGCTCTTGGTCTGAGAGGTGGAGTTCCGAGGCGGAGATGATGAGACAGATGATCTTATTATTTAATATAAAGAAAGTCTACAGGTTCATCTGATGTGTTCGATTGAGTTCGGTAAACCAGAACACATTATTACTGGCTGTCAACTCATCTGTCAGGAGGTACTGAATAATCTATTATTTATTAAAAGAGTTAATAATTCAGAATAAATGATCATAAAAACACTGTTGTTTTCTTGGTTCACAGATTGTGTAGTTTTATGACGGTCCCTGCCGTGTGTGTGTGTGTCAGATGAGCCCAGTGTGACATTTATGGACAGAGACTTGATCTAAATATAACTGTGTGTGTGTTTCTCCTAGGAGTGACACACACACACACACACACACAGGTCTGACGTAACGTGTCACACTAAACTAAAGACAAAGTTCATCAAAACACTAGATCTCCTTCACTAACCACAAATTTCTGCATGGAACTGACATTTTCATGAGTAAATCATGATTAATCAATACTTTCCTGCTAAAATGTTTCATAATGCATTATGAAAAAATTCACAAACACAATAGTCATGTAGACCCGGGGCTTATAAACAAGTGTAATAAAACCTTACATATAATTAATGTGTTAATTACAGGATGAATGAAAAGTAACTAGACAATAAAGATGTATATTAGGGTAGATTTATATTGGTGGTGGGCTGTTATCGGCGTTAACGTGAGACTCTTATCACGCGATAAAAAATATGGCCGTTTATCTGATCTCATAGTTGGATTGGGAGCTGGGTGTGCAAGCTATGATGACTTTCACCTTGATATTTTAGCATGGATGTATACCTGACCGGTTAGCTGTCTGACAAACAAGTGCCTTTCTGAATCACATGATCACATCAGCAGGATGCACTTTTAAATCTGTCACTTACTGAAGACACGACTGACTACGCTTACATGGACATCTGTAGTCGAGTTATCTGCCTTATAGACAATAATATAATGAAGGTGTTTACGTCAAGTGCTGTAATGTAAGAGATTCCTGTAATTTTGTCTGACTTTAACTGCAGTTCAGCAGTTTCTCTTTCACTCATGAATATTTCTTTCAGGCCCCCGTGACAAACTGGGCTATTAGACGCACAGCAGGAGTGAGGACTGCTGAGAGTGTTTTGGAGTTTAGTAATGCACGCCGAATGGACAGAAGAAAACTTCCGCATTTTGCCATGAAACCCGTTCTCAAAGACTTAATTTTAGTAAGTAAAATTTGGGTAGCACACATTTTTTTATTCTGAATGTGTTCGGCAGAATTCAGATGAGCCATTTTAATCTAGATTAATTTCAAGATTACAGTGATCTAAAAAATGATCTATGCCCACCTCGTGTGTTGTATAGTCAACAAAAATGCTGTGGGATTTTCAAAATGGAAAGCCTGTTCCACCTCCAACATCAAAACATTCAATAATTTCATAATTTGGTTTAATATTCACTGCTGAAAGTCCAAACACTGAAGAGCAAATCCATCCATGTGCAGCTCCACAAGTCCCAAACCAAGTGGAGACAGTGGAGGAACAAACTTCACCAATTGACCAAAGTGAAGGATAACAACCTGGAGAGAAACCAGGCTCAGTTGGGCACCACCATTTCTCCTCTGGCCAAACTTCTTGTGCAGAGCTGCAGTCTAGGCGCCGGAGGCTGGAGAACGCTGGATGTCCATTGTGCAGAAGCTGCAGGTGTGAGTAGGTCACCGGCGAGTGATCAGCCTTGCCCACGGGATCAATGAGAAGACTCTTCTGTCAATGGGGTCTTGCACAGACCTGTCGACATTGAAATGTGAAAATAAGGGATAAGCCCACCAGAACCCCTCACCCTACACACCCCCCCATAAAAAATTTTTAGTAAATATGTTCATCTGGAGCTGTTTCACTGTAAATAAACAGTTAAATGATCAGTAAAATGTATTATTATTATTATTTTATATTTACAAAAGAATAGATAAATACTTTCCCAGAGATGGGTTGCGGCTGGAAGGGCATCCGCTGCGTAAAATCTTGCTGGATAAGTTGGCGGTTCATTCCGCTGTGGTGACCCCGGATTAATAAAGGGACTAAGCCGACAAGAAAATGAATGTATGAATGAATGATAAACACATTAGCAGCAAATTAGTAAAGTTCAGCTTATTAAAATGAATAGCTATTATAAAGAAACATAATAAAGTTATCAAATCTCATTCATCTTTTCTTCACTGTATCACTCACACATTCGGATTAAAGAGCAGCGAATGAATCTCTCATTCATTTAGATTTTTCGTTTGATTACATGAAACAGCAGAGGTGTCTCTGTAAAAATGCACACATCTAACATTATAATGAAACCGTTCGACTGCTTTACTAACTGTTCATGCTCTTTTAGGACAAAACTAGTTGTGTTTAAAAAAAACCCACCAAGATCGACATCTCTAGATGTTATTATCATTAATTATGTGTATATGTCTGTTTAAACCCAGACTTTCACTCTGCTTCAAATCGTGTGTACGGAATCTGTTTGGGAAGCAGTGTCTATTATCACTATGGAGCGCGTCAGCTGACATTCACGCACCGCTATATGACTGTTTTGAGGATTGCAAAGGAGGGGCGACGGCACCTGTAATGAAAAGCAAAGGGAATCCTGCCGTTTTTATTCTTATTTCAAAGTGTTTTCATGCCTAAATAAAATGAAAGCAGAGAACAGACTTGTTTAAGAGCAAAGGGCGGCCCCTGTTGGTTCGGTGGTATGGGTTGTGTATAGGGAGGATCGGCTCTTTAATGTTTATTGCCACCCTTCATAGAAAGACTGAGAATACGAGAGAAATACGGCAAAATACCTTTACAGCATGATAGCAGGATAGAACTGTAAAATACAGGAGAATCCCAGGAAAAACGGGAGGGTTGACGGGAATGCTTTTAGGAATCATTCTCATGCTCTCCACTCCTCCATGACCACCACAGCAGCTGCTCAGGATACGGCCTGGTCCAGGATTATGGAAACCTGGATACCTGGAAAACAAAAACACATATGTGATTGTGAGAATAATGTTTGTGGACTACAGCTCAGCATTCAACACCATAGTGCCTTCCACGCTGGTGGTGAAGCTCCAGGATCTGGGTCTACACAGCTCTCTGTGCAACTGGATCCTGGGCTTCTTGTCAAGCAGACGCCAGGTGGTCAGAATGAACAACATCACCTCATCCACACTGATCCTCAACACTGGTGCTCCACAGGGCTGTGTTCTCAGCTCACTCCTGTACTCCCTGTACACACGACTGTACAGCCAAACACAGCTCCAACGTCATCGTTAATTTGCTGATGGCCTAATCACCGATAATGATTAGACAGAGAGGAGGTGCACACACTGATGCCATGGTGTGAGGAAAACAAGATCACTCAACATCAGCAAAACCAAGGAGCTGGTGGTGGATTTCAGGAGAGAGAAGAGAGAGCACACCCCCATCACCATCAGCGGGACGCCAGTGGAGAGAGTCAGCACTTTCAAGTTTCTTGGAGTCCACATCGCTGAGGATTTGACATGGACGGCTCACACAGATGCAGTGCTTAGGAAGGCACAACAACGCCTCTTCTTCCTCGGGCGTCTCAGGAGGTTTGGAATGAGCCCCCACATCCTCCGCTCGTTCTACACCTGCACTGTGGAGAGCATCCTGCTGCGTCACCACCTGGTATGGAAACAGCACCAGGAGCAATCGCAAGGGCGTACATAGGATTGTGCTGGACACGTAGTAGGAGGTGAGCTTCCCTCCCTCCAGGACATCTACACCAGGCGGTGCATGAGGAAAGCCAAGAGAATTATCAGTGACTCCAGCCACCCAAGACATAGACTTTTCTCTCTGCTACCCTCAGGCAGACGGTTCCGCAGCATCCGATCACGCACCAGCCGACTGAAGGAAAGCTTCTTCCCTCAGACTATCAGGCTGATGAACACTAAACACACTCTTCCATACCCCTCACTGCACACCATCAACATGTAGCATGCACTACTTGAAACAACACTGCCTACAACTATGAGTTCACCTATTCATCGCACATATCGCTGTCAACACTGCCAATTTTACATTGCCCTGTATTGAGTAAGTTTGTTGTCTGTTGCAGTATTTTACAGTGCCTGGAGCCAGCACCTAAGCTGTTCACTGTTCAGATGCTGATGATGTGACAATAAAAGTGATTTGATTTGATTCCTTGGCATCAATTTTCTCTGGACAAGTGCTGCTTTGAGGAATGCCCTTGTATGAAGATGGTGTGGGTGATGAAAAATGCAAATGACTCTCATTTGAACTCCAAGTTCACTGATTTAACGTCGTTAAAAAGGAGAATAAAGTGGGGCAGCACAGTGGCTCAGTGGTCAGCACTGTGGTGTCACAGCAAGAAGGTCGCTAGTTCGATTCCAGGCTGCGTCAGATTGTGTTTCTGTGTGGAGTTTGCATGTTCTCTCCGTGTTGGTGTGGGTTTCCTCCGGGTGCTCCGGTTTCCCCCACAGTCCAAACACATGCACTATAGGGGAACTGATCAACTACATTGGCCGTAGTGTATGAGTGTGTGTGTGTGTGAGTGAGTGTGTATGGGTGTTTTCCAGTACTGGGTTGCGGATGGAATAGTTGGCGGTTCATGCCGCTGTGGCGACCCCTGATAAATAAGGCACTAAGCAGAAGAAAAATGAATGGACAATAAAGTATAACAAATGTGTTGTGAATTAGGCAGAATGGTTTTGTGAGAAAGTGTGCTCATAAATACCAAAAACATACTCCATTACAACGAGACCCACAAACTCAGACGGGATTAAAATCACAATCTGATAAAGACGCATCTCTCTAGCATCCCCCAGTAGAACTAGCCTCATCAGAATTTCTGCCACATGTATTTAATATTTTCTGTATATTTCTGAGCCTATCAGCACATTTAAAACAGAAACTCACGTCTGATTGCTGTGACCGGGAGGTCAAGGTCCGGCAGGTAATCAGGTCATGAATCAGATAAAGCGAAGGATCCTGGCGTACAGTAGAGTCCAGATAAAGGGCTGAAGTCCAGAGCTGATAGAGGCCCGGTGCAGTCTGGGTGCACACATGAACACACACACACTCACACACAGACAGATGATTTCTGCATTCTGATGGGTTTCTCTCTCCGTCTGAGGATGCGTGTGTTGTGGTGTGCTGTTTTTCTGCTTTTGTGTGTTCAGACTGAAGCGTCTCCTGTTGAAAACCTCCATCTACTCCATCCGGATGAACACAAGCTCATCCTGAACCTCGGACAGAAAGGTCAGATCATTCATTCATTCATGCATGCGTTCACACTGTTTTTGTCTTGTTTCTAGTCCAAATATCTAAAAACTTTTAAATCAAGAAGGATTTTCTAGACAAGCGAAAATATTGTGTTGTTTTCAGAAATAATGAGTCAACATTACTGAGATTTTCACTGAAACAAAATTAATCTGCCAATGGGGGAAGCAGAATAATCTTATTTTAAATTAAAAAACAAGTCTATTTTACTTTTTTAGCTTTTTTAAAGGAAAAACTCACTTAATTTTGACATGGTTTTTAGCTTTTCGCTACTAAAACACTCTGACATTTGACCCACCAGACGAGAGGTCAAAGATCAAGCAGGATTTAGGGTGTGTCCATAAACACCTGATGAACTAGATCTGATAAAGACTAATCGTATCAGATTAACACACACAACACACTAGACATGTTTCTGCAGAACAATATCATTTCAGTATTATGCTCGTGTGAGTGTGTGTATGCATGCATGTGTATGTGTATAGTATGAGGTAGGATTTAAATGAAACTTTGCTGATCAACACATACATAAAACACGTGCATATACACCTATAAATTACTCACATATACAGTTGAAAGCAGAAGTGTACATACACTTTAAAAAGGAACATAACCATTTAAAAAAAAATGTCTGATGGTAAATGATACTAAACGTTTACTCTATTAGCTCTGTCAGGATTACCTGAATGATTTACATTTCCTAAATGCCAGAATAATGAGACAATTTCTTATTAATTTCTAGACAGTCAGAAGTTTACACACATTTCTTGGTATTTTTCAGCTTTGCTTTTAAACTGTATAACTTTGGTCAAGTGTTTTGGGTCTCCTTCCACAAGCTTCTCACAATAGTTTGCAAGAGTTTTGGCCAATTCCTCCTGACAGAATTGGTGTAACTGAGTCAGATTTGTAGGCTGTCTTGCTCGCACAAGCTTCTTCAGCTCTGCCCACACATTCTCAATAGGATTGGGATCAGGGCTTTGTGATGGCCACTCCAAAACATTCACTCTGTTGTCCTTAAAGCACATTTGAACTAATTTGGCAGTGTGCTTAGAGTCATCGTCTGTCTGGAAGAGCCATTTGTGGCCAAGTTTTAATTTCCTGGCTGATGTGTTAAGATGTTGCTTCAGAATTTCTCCATTATGTTCTGTCTTCATGATGCCATCTATACTGTGAAGTGGACCAGTCCCTCCTGCAGCAGAACAGCCCCACAACATGACGCTGCCGCCCCCATACTGCACAGTTGGGATGGTGTTCCTAGGTTTGTGCGCTTTCCCCTTTGTCCTCCAGATGTAACACTGCTCATTATGGCCAAACAGTTCAATCTCAGCTCCATCAGAGCACAGGACATGTCTCCACACATCAGTCTGCAGTGTGATTCAGCTGATGGTAATCTGGCTTTGTTGTTGATTCTGGCTTGTTGGTTTTCTCATGTTGTCACACAGGGAAGCAGTGTGTTTGAGCTTTTCCTTCAATACTATTCTACAGTTGTGCCTCACATTAACTCAAATGTTGTCAATCAGCCAATCAGAAACCTCCAAAACCCTGACATCATCATCTGAGCTTTATCAGAGGCAGAATCATCTTATTGTGAGTAAACTTGACTTTCAAGAAGAGTTAGAACAATTTCTCAAACCATATCTCTCTCATTATTCTGCTGTTAAGCAGAACAGAAACACACGTGATCATCCTCACTTACCTAAAAGAGAAACGGTTTACTCACATTAACATCTGACTGTGTTTAAAATGGTTATGCACCTTTTAATACAGTGCATGGAAACGTCTGCTTTCAACTGTTCATCTAAATTATTGGATGTTCAAAACAACACACATAAAACTTGTGTACAAACATATAAACTTGATGCATTTAGATTTAGTTAATAAAACTATTCCATTTAGAAATGTGTTGAAAAAAAATCTCTCCGTTAAACATAAATATACTAAATGCACAGCTAGTGTTTTTCAGCCAGCAATAAACTTCTGGTGAAAGTTTTCACAAGCTTTCTTTTACAGCATTGATGTTGTAATGTAATTAAAATACAATCAGTTAAATGGATTTAAGCATGCACTTAGTTGTTTAAGCGTAAAACAAGATGAAAGACGCAAGCAGCGAGAGGGGTCTGGGTGCAGACCTGGTGCAGTGCAATCTGAGCTGCATGCTTTTTAATGGGTTCACCTAACCCCACCCCTCACGGTAACGTCACTCGCTCCATTGAGTGCACTGAGTCTGATATTGCATCTCTGAGATATGCAGTCTCAGCCTGCATCATCAAGGCTGCATCCAGGTACTATTGTGAGCAGCAAGTGAACGCTGAGGCCATACTCACACTAGGTACAGTTGCCTCGAACCGGGCCAAAGCACGCTTGTCCCCCCTCCCGTCTCCCCCGACGGCCCGCACTCACACTACAATCAGGCCTGGGCATGCTTACGTCATCGCTGCTGCACTGTTCAGTGAGAAGCGCTCTCTCACTCAGCAGACAGTGGAGATTTCTCTAGTTATATCGTTTCAGTCATTTGATATGTCATCAAATATTTCGCCAAACAGTCCTTAGGGATGCGGGGACGTGCAGTCAGATATTTATATATATATATATATATATCTAGACATCTTTATCTAGATATGATATAGCCAGTCACATTTGTTTCTGTAATAGTTAAACCACAGTGAGTTCATGTATTTAGCATATTATTTTATGGCTATATTCTACAGTAACATGCTATGTCAGTTAGCAGCGGATTATAAATCGACTTTCTTATGAAAATTCCTAATGCCCCCGGGCCCCCCTGATTATTTTTTTAACACATTTCTAAACATAACAGTGTTAATAACTCATCTCTAATAACTGATTTATTTTCTCTTTGCCATGATGACAGTAAGTAATACTTGACAAGACATTTTTAAAGAAACTTCTATACAGCTTAAAGTGACATTTAAAGGCAGGTTAGGGTAATTTGGCAAGTCATTGTATAACGATAGTTTTTTATGCTGATGATCGGAAAAAAATATAGCTTAAAGGGGCTAATTATTTTGACCCTTAAATGGTTTTTAAAAAATGTAAGACTGCTTTTATTCTAGCCTAAATAAAACAAATAAGACTTTCTCCAGAAGAACAAGTATTATCAGACATACTGTGAAAATGTCCTTGCTCTGTTAAACATCATTTTGAAAATATTTAAAATAGGAAAAAATAATTAAAAGGGGGGCAAATAATTCTGACTTCAACTACATTTATTGTCACAGTCGTGTAAATGATCAGTTTAAGCCTTTTTTATGTATATTCAGATCTTATTTTCATTCAACTCCAGCAATAGCTGGATTCCTTCATCCATAATATTTGGGTTTTCCTGGAATATTCTACAACTTTTGTGAGGCATATATGGAATTTCTGCTCAAGTGTGAATGAAACAGGCATTACATGCATTCAAAGTGCTACAATGCCCACATCAACCTATTTTGAGGAAAACTAAAAATCTCCCTCTAAAGAAATTTGAAGTAAACACATTTTTAGCATTTAAATCTTTATTTTTTTGTACTATTTTTGATACAATTGTTTTTTAAAAAAGCCCATTGAATATCAATATTTTGCGAGGTATTGAATTTAGAAATTCCAGTATCTTGACAACACTACACCTCAGTTAATCACTCTGTCCAAATAAACATGTGTGTAGCTTTGTATCACATTGGATAACAACTTGGTCCATAAAAAAAATTATATTTTCAGATATGAAGACATGCAGAAATTTTAATTTTCAAAAAACAAAAAGAAACTGCAAATCAGGAGAGGAGATAGGAGGCTCAAGGGGCATGATATGGCTCATAACAGAATAGTAAATAAGAAGTGGGTAATTTTTAAATTTTTTTCCTTTTTGGTGTTACAAGTCACAAAGCTTCACAATTTATTGTTATAGACTGTCAACTCAAAAACCATTTATTTATCATTAAACTATCTCTAATCCTATTATTAAGATTACAATAGATCAAATTGTGAAACTGGGTTTTTTTTTAGGGGGTGGGGGGCGGGGGGGTCTTTGGGGCTAAGCCCCTTATCCCTTTCGACCCTAGCAACGCCCCTGGCATAGTGTGAGTAGGCCCTGAAACTCTCTGCATTTGATTCTTTGACTCTGTGTTGAAAATACTGTGGAAAAATATCTACATGAAGAGAAATAGATTTGCTTCTAGTCATGTAAACCACAGCGTCAGCGCATTCAGGAATAACAGTTTGTTGGCAAAAGCCGCTAAACGCCACCTGCCAAAAACCGCTATATCCCAAGAACCAATCAGAAGTGCGAATTGGATCACATGTTTTCATTGTAGCAGCGCGCTGATATGCCGGCTTTATTAGGAGACTGATTTATTCAGAGATGATCATTGTTTTTTTTCTAAGATATCAGATCTTAAATGCTGGGATTTTGTAACTGTATGACAGTTCTCCAGAAGCGCTTGAGCTGCTGACTGAAAATGAAGAGTCTGTGTTCATACAGCACCCTATTGGGGAAAAGATGTAAAATAATAACAGTTAACCGGAGGGCTAATAATTCATGCATGCTAATATATTTGCATGCATGTGAACATGTCTCTCTGTGTGTTTGTGTATCAGAGATCCCACGGGATTGTCATGATCTGTGGCAGCGCTCGGGCGGTGAGGCGCGGGACGGCCTGTATGTGATCCGGCCCGGTGGCTCAAGCATCGCGGTGTTCTGCGCCATGGCGGACGGCGGCTGGACGGTGGTGCAGCACATCACGGTCAACAGCAGCGTGGACTTTGACCGCTCCTGGGACGACTATAAACGCGGCTTCGGTTCGCTCACCGGGAACCACTGGCTGGGCAACGAGCACCTGCACCAGCTCACCAGCGGCCCAGAGCGATTCAAACTCGGCATTAAACTGGTGGACGGAGACGCGGTGACCAAAACCGGCGAGTACGACCCGGTGATGGTGGAGGACGAGCGGGCGCAGTACCGGCTGAGGCTCGGGCTGTTCACGGGCACCGCAGCGGATGCGCTCACGGCGGACACTGAGAACTACCTCCACGACAACCAGCGCTTCACCACCAGAGACAGAGACAACGACAACTACTACCAGAACTGTGCCCGGCTAGAGTTCCAGGGCGTGGCGGGCGGCGGCTGGTGGTACGATGCGTGCGCAGGCGCCAACTTGAACCGCAGGAACGTCATCTACTGGCAGAAAGACTGCAATAAAGAGCGCATGTGCAAATACGCCTGGATGATGGTGAAGCCCTCAGAGCAGCTCAAAGTCATCCGCAGCGGAGAGTGTGGCAGAGACGAGCTCTGAGGTGTGAAGTACTACAGTCATCTATACTGGTGTTTTTGAAGCATACTATAGTAAAGTGTTCATTACAGTACTCACTGTTCATGTGTGTTCCATCATACTGTAAAAATACCTAGAGTCAACTTAAAATATACTGTAGTCTAGTTTTGTTTTTACTACAGTAAACTGTGGCGTATTGTAGTATAATATTTCTTATGTCACCATAGCAACCGCAAAATCGCCATGACAAATCAATTACTATGACTGTTGTGTTACCATCGCTGTTGTGTAGAAATCGACAAGTACTATAGTCGTTGTTACTATAGCAACTTTGGAATCACCACAACAGATTAATTACTATAGCCGTTGTGTTACCATAGAAACTGTAGAATCGCCACAAAAGATCAATTACTATTGTGGTTGTGTTGCTATGGTAACTGTAGAATTGCCAGAACAGATCAGTTACTGTAGTTGTTTTTACCATAGCAACTGTAGAATCGCCACAACAGATCAAATACTTTACTTTAGTATGGATCAAAAACATTAGTGTTTACTATATATATATATATATTACTGTTGTATTTTTGTGTAGGTGCTTCTATGACTTTTAAAGGCTGATCTAGCATGCAACAAACACACAAACAAACAAACAAACAAACAAACAAACAAACAAAAATGACTGTTTCTGTCTCAATTATATTAACTATATAAAAGAATTTAATATTATATTATATTATTATTATTATATTAAAAAACAGATCGTTCACCCTTTTGCAGAAATTTGTTCTTATTTTGATCATAAACTCACTTAATTTTAATATATATTTTTTTACAAGCATTTACCTTGAAATGTTTTATAATTAAGTTTTTATTAAGGGAACAAAAGCTTTAAGAAACTATTTGAATTGTTTATGGGTTTTCTCCATAAATGTTTAAGATATATGGGCATTTACAAATGAACATCAGTGGTTTGGCGTTGAGCTGGTTTGCACAGAGAAATATTTTTGTACAATGATCTAGTTGTTTGAGTGTGCTGAAACTTCAATTATATACATTTGTTGAGTTTCCCAGACACCTTTGGGCTGATTTCTGTTGAGAAAAGCTAATGACTTCTCCTCTGAAAGTGAATATTTATTTATTCAGATGCATTGATTCAGTTTGAAAATTTCTCAGGGTTATGCTGTTTTGTTAATATGTAATATTCATAAATGTGGCGTTTAATGATTTCATTTTTTTTTTATTTGTTTTAGTGGGATTCACACTAAGCATTCTCATTAGATGTGCTACTACATTTGATAAAGGGATATATTTGAAATAAATATGGAAAACAAATGCTGTGTATCGTGCATCAGTTTGCATGTGTGTGGCTCATGTGTAATTTGAATATTCTGAACATTTCGTAATTTTTAATTGATTGTAAAGATATAAATGCAGTAATGTTGTGATAAAAATGTTAACACAACATTCAGTTTTAGTTATAATTATAGCAATACAATTAAAAGAAAATGTAAAAAAACTATATGACAATTTTAATGGACTACACGAATTGTTGTTGTGTTACCATAGCAACTGTAGAATCACCACAACAGATCAGTTACTATAGTTCTTCTGTTATTATAGCAACTGTTCAACCACCAAAACAGATCAGTCACTATAGTTGTTGTATTACCATAGCAACTGTAGAATCACCACAACAGATCAGTTACTATAGTTCTTCTGTTATTATAGCAACTGTTCAACCACCAAAACAGATCAGTCACTATAGTTGTTGTATTACCATAGCAACTGTAGAATCACCACAACAGATCAGTTACTATAGTTGTTGTGTTACCATAGCAACTGTAGAATCACCACAACAGATCAGTTACTATAGTTGTTGTGTTACCATAGCAACTGTAGAATCATCACAACAGATCAGTTACTATAGTTGTTGTGTTACCATAGCAACTGTAGAATACCACAAAAGATCAATTATTATAGTTGTTGTGTTACCATAGCAACTGTAGAGTCACCACCTTACCAGATCAGCTGCTATAGTTATTGTGTAACCATAGCAACTGTAGAATCACCACGACAGATTAATTACTATAGTTGTTACCATAGCAACTGTAGAATCACAACAATAGATTAATTTGAGTGTTTTACTATAGTATAATTCCAAACACTAGTATTTTTTCATGTGGACTCACAATGTGTCTGTACAGTATTTGCCCTGAAAAATTATAGTGCAGATATAAATGATTAAGCAATTCAACACATGATGGTCGATTATCTGGATTTAATTTTATTCCATGAACATTTAAAAGTCAGGTTGATTTATACTGAAGTGTTCAGTCCACTCATCAGACTGATCACACACACACACACACACACACACACACACACACACACACACACACACACACACACACACAAACTCAATGCTTTCAGTCTAGGTTTACATTTGTTGAATAAACAGAGTTCGCGGTGTGTTTGTTGGAATTGTTTACGGCACATCGAAACACATTTTCCAAGCACCTATAGAGAAAACACATGGTTTGTTTCCTGAAGAACAGCAGAGCTGGAGACACCAACATGACAGCATGAAATATTGAGAGGCCTTCGATTGAAATCACAGCGTCTAAACCTCCTGCAGACACACACACACTGCGAAATACAGCCTGCTTCTGTCATTTACACTCTAATAATGGCACAGTAAGGCATTTAAAGTGAACAACATTAGCCCTTTAACACTGTCACAAACACGGATAAAACCAGCTCTGAGCATGAACCTGACGAGTGTGTTCTCAACAAGCAGGAAACACCATCAGACAAATCTCACACGAAAAAAATACTACAGTAATTTACAGTAAACCCTAGAGTGTTTTTGAACCAGTAAAGCAGTTCAATTAATCTGTTGCTATGGTAACACTACAACTATAGCAACTGATCTGTTGTGGTGATTCTACAGTTGCTATGGTAACATGACAACTATAGTAATCGATCTGTTGTGATTCTACAGTTGCTATGGTAACACAACTATAGTAATCGATCACTAGTGGTAATTCTACAGTTGCTATGGTAACAACAACTATAGTAATTGATCTGTTGTGGTGATTCTACAGTTGCTATGGTGACAAATATTGTAATACAAACAAATGACCTAGTGCTGTAGTCTTCTATATCTATAGTGTGTATTCCATTACAATGCACCACAGTTAGCTAAAGTATACCCCAGTGTTATTAGAGGTTATCAGTTCACTATTGTTAGTACTACAGTATGCTGGAGCAGTCATTAACAGCTGTAGGTACTTTAATATATACAGTATAATACCCTTTACTATAGTATGGTTCAAAAACACTTGTGTTAACTGTACTTTACTGCAGTATTTGATCAATGCTTTGAAAACACAGCTGCTTTAATGAGATTACGCTCCAAACCAAGGGTTATGACAGAGTTAGAGCTTAGTTAACACAAAGATTCCTGAAATGTAAATATTAAAGGGAGAATCTGATCAGTGCTTTAAATAAAACATGGCCCTGCCTGCAGAAGAAACACATAAGCTGGTTCAATGCCAACATTTCCTCCTGACACATGAGCGGGGCTTTACTGCGGCATCAAGACTTCAGGTGGGGGAGAACAATTCTTACAGTTTTTGCACAGAGAATCTTGCGCAGTAATCTCTGAGTGCTGTGCCTCATGCAGATCTTCACTTCTACACTCCTGGTTGGCCACTTTTGGTGAGGGGTTGTTTTTTGAGTTGTCTTAATCCAGCGTTGGGTCAAATAACCCAATATTGATTTTTTTAATAGTAAATTTAAATGACAGTTTTGAACTCAATGGTTGAGTTTGTTCAAATTTGACTTAATGTTGGTGAACAACATATTTTGGAGTGCACAGAAACCCTCATCCCTACACAGAAACTTAACCCAAAAAGTATTTGAATTCATGGGAGCCCCTATACTCTGAACCATGTTGGGTTTTCTCAACTGAGTGTTGGGTGAAATAAGGACAAACCCAACGCTGAATTTATTTGTTCAATTACATTTTACATTTTTAAACCCAATGTTAGATTTGTCTGTATTTGACACAATGTTAGATTACAACAACCCAGCATATTTTGGAGTGTACTGAACCCCCATCCCATCACAATAACTTAACCCAAAAAGTATTTGAACTGATGGGAATCCCTAATTTTTGTCCATTTAAATATATATATTTTTTGATTTATCCCAAATGGAGGAGTTTGTCTAAATTTGACCCAACATGGATTACAACAACCCACCATATTTTATAACCCAACCTTTTTTAGTGTGCAGACACCACTATCCCGTCACAGAACCATAAACTTAAGCCAAAAACGATTAGAGTCATTGGGAATCCCAGAGCTCAAGAAATGCTGGGTTGTCTTAATCCAATTTTGGGTCAAATATGGACAAACCAAATTTATTTTTTAAAATAAAATGTATATGACACTTTTTAACCCAATGTTTGGATTTGTCCATATTTGACACAACATTGGGTTACAACAACCCAGCATTTTTCAGAGTGAACACAATCTCCCTGACCCCATAAGAGGAACACAAAATCACCAAAAAAAAAAAAAAACTGATGGAACCCCAAGACCAGCCAGCAGTCCTGCCGAAACACTGTTTTTTTTTCTGCATGTCCCACTAAATTTCACAAACCAGGCTCATTCTGAAAACGACGTTTCTGGAGACCATGAATTATGTAGCCTTTTAGTGCCTACCGGCTGACCGCTTACCCCCGTGTGGAGGGCTTTCCTGCTGCAATCAGTTTGTCCGGTTAGCTCGTTGTGTACATTGGCGGACTTGAGACGCAGTGAGGAGCTGAACATGATGACTGTGTTCGAGTCCAGGGAAGAACAATTCCAGAAATCAGGTTAGACAAAAACATAATCCAAAAAATAAAGGTTCAAGCCTTGGCTGGGTCAGTTGGCATTTCTGTGTGGAGTTTGCATGTTCTCTCCGGGTTCACGTGGATTTCCTCTGGGTGCTAAAATTTCATCCAAGGATATGTGGTACAGGTGAATTCGGTATGCTAAAATTGACAGTTGTGTACGAATGTGTGGGTATGGATGTTTCCCAGTGATGGGTTGCAGCTGGAAGGGCATCCGCTGCATAAAAACATATGCTTGATAAGTTAGCTGTTAGATGCATGTTAATAGTGTAAACCCTTACACTATTAACATGCAAAGTTGTCTTAACCCAGTTTTGGGCCAAATATGGACAAACCTAATAGTTACTACTGGCGCAGTAGGTGGTGCTGTCGCCTCACAGCAAGAAGGTCACTGGTTCGAGCCTTGGCTGGTCTAGTTGGGGATTTTTGTGTGGAGTTTGCATGTTCTCCCTGTGTTTGCGTGGGTTTCCTCCGGGTGCTCCGGTTTCCCCCACAGTCCAAAGACGTGGTACAGGTGAATTGGGTAGGCTAAATTGTCCGTAGTGTATGTGTGTGTGTGTGTGTGTGTGTGTGTGTGTGAATGAGTGTGTGTGGATGTTTCCCAGAGATGAGTTGCGGCTCGAAGGGCATACGCTGTGTAAAAATGTGCTGGATAAGAGGGCAGTTAATTCCGCTGTGGCGACCCCGGATTAATAAAGGGATTAAGCCGACAAGAAAATGAATGAATGACACTTTTCAACCCAATGATTGGATTTGTCCATATTTGACACAATGTTGGGTTACAACAACACAGGGGTGGAGCGGGGGTGTTGGGGTCAGGTGACTTCTAGGGCTTCAGCCTTGAATGTTTTTTCAAAAGCCCAAAATCAGGGGTGTCCAAACTCTGTGTATGAGGGTCGGTGTCCTGCATATTTAAGTTCAAACCCTAATTAAACACACCAGAACCAGCTAATCAATACTTGTTGAAGCAAGTTGGAGGTAAGCTATGCAGGACACCGACCCTCCAGGATGGAGTTTGGACATCCCTGCCCTAAATCTTATGGGTTTGTTTAGTTTTGCCAAAATGTAGGTTTTAATCAATCAATCAATCAATCAATCAATCAATCAATCAATCAATCAATCAATCATTCATTCATTCATTCATTCATTCATCTTCTGCTGCTTTTCCGGGGCCGGGTCGCTGGGACAAGAATCTTAGGAGAGAACCCCAGACTTCTCACTCCCCAGACACTTCCTCCAGCTCCTCCGGGGGGATCCTGAGGTGTTCCCAGGCCAGCCGAGAAACATAGTCCCACCAGCGTGTCCTGAGTATACCCCGAGGCCTCCTCCCAGTGGGACATGCCTGGAACACCTCCCTAGGTAGGCGTCCAGCAGGCATCCAAAACAGATGCCCGAGCCACCTCAGCTGACTTCTCTCGATGTGGAGGAGCAGCGGCTCAACTCCTAGCTCCTCCTGGGTGTCAGAGTTCCTCACCCTATTCATAAGAGTGTGCCCTGCCACCCTTCGAAGGAAACTCATTTCGGCCGCTTGTATCAGAGATCTTGTCCTTTCGGTCATGACCCAAAGCTCATGAACACAGTGAGAGTAGGAACGTAGACTGACCGGTAAATCAAGAGCCTTGTCATTGGCTCAGCTCCTTCTTCACCACAACGGACTGGTACAGCAACCGCATTACTGCTGCCACTGCACCAATCCGCCTGTCAATCTCACGCTCCATCCTTCCCTCACACCTGAACTAAACCCCGAGATACTTAAACTCCTCCACCTGGGGTAAGGACTTTCCTCCAACCTGGAGATGGCAAGCCACCTTTTTCCAGTGGAGCACCATGGCCTCGAACTCGGAGGTGCTGATTCTCATCCCACATCACATGCAAAAACATTTAAATTGGATCAGCATTGCTTTTCCACAGAATCAATAAAATAATATCAGGGGGGTTTTCTCGATCTCTATTTTAAATTTATTTACGAGTTTTTAGCCGAGACAGTTCCATTGTGGTAAGTGCTTTCTCTTTGAAAGTGAGCCTACATCACGCACCGTGGTTCTGCATATCCACGCCTCCTGTCAATCCCTCAGCGTGGGATTCGTGACACTCGATGACACTCGTCTCATCACCACACCACAATTGTACTTTGTTTTTGTTTGTTAGTGACAAACTAAATTTGGGCTAAGCCCCAGATTCATAACCTCCAGCCCTGCCCCTGCAACAACCCAACATTTTTCAGAGTGTACACAAACCCCTAATCCCACCAAAGAAACAGAAAGTCAACCCCAAAAGCACTCTGAACTGATGGAAATCCTACGGCCAACTATCAGTCCTGTGAAAACACCCTTTTTGTCCCACTCAACAGCAGTCTGAATGTACAAAACCTGCTGCTGACAGTGAAGCTCGTCCTCCTGTGGTTAAAAAGTCTGGCTGCAGACTCGAATCCCTGATAATCCTGGCCAGTCACTCAGAGCAGGGTTTGCTGGTCCCTCATGTGAGTTTGCTGCCCACGGCCGGGTTCTGCCCACACCAATACAGCTTCTCCTCCGCCCGCTGCTTCCTCCACTGGCACAGCAGCAGCATGCGGAAGGTCTTCTGGAAGGTTTTGTTGCAGAGCGCGTAGCACATGGGGTTGACGGTGCTGTTGACATAGCACAGCCAGTAACCCAGATGCCAGAGCGAGAGCGGGATGCAGTCGGAGCAGAAGGTGGAGATCAGCACCATGATGTTGTACGGCGTCCAGGTGAGGATGAAGGCCAGCAGGATGGCGCTCAGAGTCTGCGCCGCCTTCTTCTCCTTGATCAGCACCATCCGTTTACGCTTCGTGATCTGGCATTTCAGCGTACCGTCGATTGGTTTCGAAGATGACGATGAGGAAGGGGCGTTCACAGATTCGGCCGACGAGAAAGACGAGGCTCCAGGTTTTGCGTCCCCGTTAGTGTTCTTTAGCGGACTGACATCTTTCGGTTTGAATTTATACGAAACACACTTCTTGGTCTTCGTAGGACTTGCTTTGACTGGAGTTGGGAAGAAGTTCTCTTCCTCGTAGCTTTCGCTCTTGTTCTCCTGATGTCTGCAAGACTCCTGGAAGTTCCCAGAGCGATCTTCCTCCTCGGAGGAGGCGTAGCTGTTAAAGTTGGTCAACTGATCATCCAGAGTTTTAGCAGCATTGGTGTGACTTAAAGCTTGGGTTCTTGATGTATTGCTAACATGTTTGCAGCCGAAACAAGACCGTATCTTTTGAGGCTGAGCGTCTCCGCTGGAATTTGTTGACGAGTTGATGCCTTGAAGTTCGGCAAGATCTTTAGTGCGTCTTTCGGTCTCCTTGTATATCCGACAGTAAAGAATAGTCATGACGGATACAGGAAAATAAAACGCGGCTATCGCCGTCCCGAAGGTGATCACAGGCTCGGAGAAAAACTGAATCTGGCACTGTCTTTCAGGAACGGTTCTTTTACCAACAAAATACTGCCAGCACAAAATCGGAGGAGCCCACAAGATAAAAGAAACAAGCCAAGCCAAACCAATCATAATCCCCGCTCTCTTCGGCGTCCGTTTGGCTCGGTATGTCAGAGGTCTCGTAATCGAGAAGTATCGGTCAAAGCTAATAACTAAAAGGTTCATAACTGATGCATTGCTCGCCACGTAATCCAAAGCCAACCACAGATCGCAGGCCAGACTCCCGAGCGCCCAGTAGCCCATGAGGATGTAGGAGGTGTACAGATTCATGGAGAAAACGCCGATGATCAGGTCAGCGAAGGCCAGACTCAGCAGATAATAATTGTTGACCGTCTTCAGCTGGCTGTTGACCTTGAAGGACAGCATGACCAGGATGTTTCCGATGATGGTGATGAAGCTGACGATGGCGGAGACGGTGGCGATGGCGATCACCTCCCACAGGCTGTGCGTGACCAGCTGGACGTCCGTGATGTTGGCGCGGAGGGTCAAGTTCTCCACACCCATAGTGATGCCCGTGGGTCGGTTCACAATTCGGTCAGCACGTCCATTTCCTGGAGACACACAAGAACAGACGTCAGAGCAGCGCAGAGTAGGACAGCTCTTTCATCAGCTCTAGATGGTGCAGTATGGACATTTTTGACTCTTCTAAAGATGAAAATTACCATATTGTGTTTACAGATACTTAGGAAACATGCCAAGTAAACATTAACAATGCTAAAGTCAGTTATACTCCTTTAAAAATGCCTAATTCCGCCTACTGATTGATTACCCAATTATATTTCAGCTCCCAGGGTTGCCAGATGGTGGAGAATGCAGCGTATTTCATTTCAGTTATGAAGACTCTCAACAAATGCATCTGAAATACATCCTCTGGAGGACAGCAGCAGCCTCCGAAATGAGATGCAGATTCAAAGTTATACACATGAGGTGGTTAAATTATGAAAATGTAAATATTAGCTGAGCAGCTCACAATGTAAGGCTTGATCATTAGGCATGCGCACTCCTGTTTGTCACATCAATCTGGCAACTGGCATTTGTGTCAAGTGGTATTGAGAGGGGCCAGTTGAATAAAACACTCTCCAATATTGATTTTGGACTGCAATACCTAGTTCAACCACTAGATTGTCAATTTATACATTCTGCACCTTTAAAGGGATAGTTCATCTGATAATTCACAGGTGTCAAACTCAGTTCCAAAAGGGCTGCAGCTCTGCACAGTTTAGTTCCAACCCTAATTAAACACACCTGATCAAACTAATTGAGTCCTTCAGGCTTGTTTGAAACCTACAGGTAAGTGTGTTGGAGCAGGGTCGGAACTAAACTGTGCAGGACTTCGGCCCTCCAGGAATTGAGTTTGACACCCCTGCGATAATTATACAGATTTCATCATTATTTAATCTCTCGCATGTTGTCTTAAACATTCATGAGTTTCTTTGTTCTGTTAACACATTCATTCATTTTCTTTTCAGCTTAGTCCCTTTATTAATCCGGGGTCGCCACAGCGGAATGAACCGCCAACTTATCCAGCAAATGTTTTACACAGCGGATGCCCTTCCAGCTGCAACCTATAACTGGGAAACATCCATACACATTCACACACACATACACCACAGACAATTTTAGCATACCCAATTCACCTGTACCACAACCTTGGACTTGTGGGGGAAACTGAAACACCCGGAGGAAACCCACGCGAACAAGAGAAGAACATGTGAACACAAAAACGCCAACTGACCCAGCCGAGGCTCGATTCAGTGACCTTCTTGCTGTGAGGTGAACGTGCCACCCACTGCGACTTTGCGCAGACATTCTGAATAATGTTAGTTGTGTCACCCATTGACTTTACTATAGTATTGGAGTAAATGGGTGACAACATTCTTCAAAATATCTTCTGTTGTGTTCAACAGAACAAAGAAACTCAAGTACGTTTTAGAAATAGTATTTATTGAGTAAATGATGACGAATTTTTATGTTTGGGTGAACTCTCCCTTTAGTAGAATTGTTGTCAATGTTAACGATGAAAGAAGATGAATTAATTAAAATGAAATACAACTTGAGTTAAATAAAAAACTGAACTTTTTAGAAAACTAAAAATGAACACAAAAATAAAACTAAATAAATGCTGTATAATACATCACTGTGGATAATAATGAATAAATAAAAAGCAAACATATGGACTACAGATGACATCAAAATTATTCATCCTCCTGTGAAATTGTCATTATTTGTCAAATATTTCTCACGTGCTGTTTAAATTTTGTTTCTTATTATATTTTTCTTCTAAAGAAAGTCTTATTTTTTAAAGCTGGCTGGATATTAGTATTGAATCCTTCATTTATTTATTATTGATTCCATAATATGCATCATAAATAACAAAAACTAAAAAACACATGGGAGCAGAAATCATAAAATCAGAGCTATTATACTTAGTTTTACAAGCTTATATAATCTTAGTATTTAATTGAATGTTAATGCATAATCCCTTTGAAATAAACAATAAATAAACCACAAAATAAATATGTCCCAGTGTAAAGAGATTGAATATCCTCTAGAGGGCAGAAGTGAGATTCATTCAACAACCAAATCCTGACTGCCAACACATCCTTACTGAAATAAAGACACATCAGCAGCAAACTCATAAAGCATCTACTAGAATATCATAAAGACTGCATGAATTCATAATGTACTGCAGTTTATGAGCTTATAGCGAGAATACATATGAAGATGCATCATCTGCCACTGGTTAAAGATTTGGCACACTACATTGCACTGGAAAAAACAACCTACACTCTCAGAAACACCTTACACGAGCGGTCACTGGGGTGGGAGCTTTTCAAAAGGTACAAATTTGTACTTAAATAGTCCATATTAATACCTCAAGGGTACATATTAGTACCTAAAAAGTACAAAAGTGTTCCTCTTAAAATTTTTAGGTACTAATATATACTTTTGAGGTATCAATATGGACTCTTCAAGGACAAATGTGTCCCTTTTGAAAAGGTACCACCCGAGTGACAGCTCGTGCAGCTTTATTTCTGAGAGTGTACAGTATATACAGTACAAACTAAAGGACTACCATACAATTTTAGATCTGCTTATGCAGTTTCTGGAAAAAAAACCAAACATCGGCACAAGCAAATAAATACCTCTACTGGTTGCTATGTGTGTGTATTTTGTATGTGGAAATGTTATGTCTGGCTTTGCCCATCTTAAAGTGTTGCAGAGTTAAAAAGGTTCATTCATTCATAACTAGAAGTCACCCGACCCCAACACCCCCGCTCCACCCCTAAGCTGCTGTAACCCAACATTGTGTCAAATATGGACAAATCCAATCATTGGGTTTAAAAGTGTCATTCATTCATTTTCTTTTCGGCTTTGTTCCTTTATTAATCAGTGGTCGCCACAGCGGAATGAACCGCCAACTTATCCAGCATATGTTTTATGCAGCGGATGCCCTTCCAGCTGCAACCCATCTCTGGGAAACATCCACACACACTCTTCACACTCATACACAACAGACAATTTAGTTGACCCAATTCACCTGTACCGCATGTGTTTGGACTGTGGGGGAAACCCGAGCACCCGGAGGAAACCCACGCAAATGCGGAGAGAACATGCAAACTCCACACAGAAACGCCAACTAACCCAGCCGAGGCTTGAACCTTAAAAAGGTTTTCAGAAATTATAACTGTATGTTAACTTTCTTCTGCCTTTCTACAATAAACTAGTTTACACCAAGGTTGTATTAGTTAATGCATTGGTAAACAGTGGAACAACACCTTTGTCCAGCATTAATCTTTGTTAAACTAAACATACTAATGTGCTAATTAATACATTAACATGAACTAATGGTGAACAATGACCTCATTCAGCATCATTTCATCTGTAATACTGTTTATTCATGTCTCTTTACATCATCAGCCTAATTTTTTCATTCACTCATACACTAATGCATGTGTTCACGGATAGGTTACATCAACGAGCAACACATTTATTCAGTCCTCAAACATGAACATCATCCTCCGGTTTCTCCTTTAACTCTCTGAAACATGTTTTTTATGTTTGCTTTGTCTTTATTTACATGGTTTATCATTTACAAAGTGTTTGTTAATGAAATTAGAATCCTTATTGTAAAGTATACACTACTCCAACATTGTCAAATATGTATAACTAACATTTCTTGAGAAAAATATGCATTTTATAAATAATTTTTCATGCATCAACTGATTAAACACATATCAAAATAATAATATGAAGAGCATGCACAGTGTAGTTACACAATCTACCAGAAGGGGAGCCAAACAGACCATCATAACCAGAGCAGAGCATCAAAGTTAAGCAATAACCCCCTAAAAGTGTGTATCCTGAACTCAACTCCTCATTGCTGTACACGTGTTGTAGTCGCGAGTGTGTTTCTGCACACGTGAACAGGCTGATGGACACACACGTATGATCTGTCTATGGCTTTCAGTTTCCACGGTGACGGACGACTGATTTCTTTTGAATGATAAACCAACATCATCTGCCGACACAAAGCAAACAGACACTGAAGGACGAGTGACTGTGTGTGTGTGTGTGTGTGTGTGTGTGTGCTCTGGATGAGTTTAACGTCACACACTCCTGTCACAAACATGAGACAAAGGAGCCTGTGTTGGTTTTTTGTGGCAAAATTTTACATCCATAAATGTCCATTTTCAAAGAAACACCCTCACTTTTTTATTTTCAGAAAGGACTTTGGTTTATATGTGAGCTCTTTAAAAGATTCTAACAATTACGATGCATGTAAAACGCTTTCTTGGTGTTAATAATTTAAACTTGTTTAATTTGCTGGAGTTTTGTTTACGTAACCCTCTTTGTCTCCTTGTTCATGTTGTATCTTTGTAATGTCCTTTCAAGCATAATAAATAAACAGAAAAAAATGGAAAGAAAAAGGAGCCTGTGTGTCAGTCTGAATCAATCAAATCACAGATAGAAATACTGTCATTTGTAATCATTTGTATATGCCTTGTGGTATTGCGTAAGTATTTGTAATTAGAATGAACTACTATTTAATGAATGTGTAAAAAAAGTAAGAGTTGATTACATGATTCTGTATTAGGAAACTGATCACAGTTCATTGATTCTTGAATATCTATGTTTAGAATTCTAAAATACATGGCTCTGTGACACGCAGAGCGGCTCTTCTGGTGTGCGACCTGCAGGCAAGTTTGTTATACTATTTCCAATGGAGAGACGCACACGAGGCAACACATTTGCACTTTTCCAGCTGCGCCTAGTTAAGATCACAGGCAGGAGCTTTTGTGAACGTGAGAAATGCAAACGGCTGAAGTTTAATGTGGACGCAATGAAAAGTACACATGTTTGCAAACCTACCTAAAGGCACAAGCAATTATTCCGATTAGAACTTGAACTTATATACCTTTTCAAATATATAATTTCTGACTTGTACTGTTGGATTGATCATCACTGGTCATATACTTCGTCTTGCTTTCACTTATCTCAAGTCCCATTTTCTAGGGCCAATGTAGTTGATCAGTTCCCCTATAGCGCATGTGTTTGGACTGTGGGGGAAACCGGAGCACCCGGGAGAAACCCACGCCAATGCAGGGAGAACAAGCAAACTCCACAAAGAAAAACACCAACTGACCCAGCCGGGACTCGAACCGGTGACTTTCTTTCTGCAAGGCCACAGTGCTCACCACTGAGCCACCGTGCTGATTTTCCAGGTTTAGTTTTGTTTAGCTGAGAATGTCACACAGATGATGTTCTCCAGCTCTCTCAAACTGACCCTTTCAGGCTTTGATCCTGATTGTGGTGTTTTAAATGCAAATGAGATTGTGCTCTTTTCAGAAGAGGGCGGAGCTACAGACGGCTTTGCGTCCGATGTAAATCAGATGTAAGCAGTGTGTGTGTTGTGAGTGCTGGTCAGGTGTGTGTGCGTGTTTAAGTGTGAGTGTGTGTTCATGCTTCTGTCAGTCTATGTCGCTCCTGTCTCTGTTCATCATCACCTCCACATCTATAATCCTCTTAGTCTATGCTGACATCATCTTCAGCAGCTCAAACACTCTAATGGCTAATGGACAGACGGCTGCTTCTCACTCAGGCCTGCTGGACATGCTAATGAGATGGGCACTAGTGGGCGGGGCTTTCCCCCTCTGATGACACATACAAAGTGAGAATGCCAATCAAAGTGTTTCTGCAGAGTCTGACTATAAACAAACACAACTCATTCATCTGCAGCATTAGAGGCTGCTGGAGATACTCACACACTGCTCACACACACACTACTGGGTTGGTCCCCTTTTAAGACCCGTTTCCTGAAAGATTTATAAAACAGAAGAAGAACAAGAACAAATCAGCCAGAAGGATGAGAAAATAGTTTGGATTGTTTGCAGTTTAGTTTGAGAGGTTTAGTAGTGGACTCGAGGCTTGAAGCGATTTCAACAGAATAATCGCTCATTGACACTAATTATATTCATCATGTGCTTAAAGATCTGCAGAATCACTTTATTATTCAGTCCATCCAGTCCATGATGCAGAACAAGTCACTTAGATGTGTTTCTTTCCACCTATTTTTATGCGCATTTTGGATTATCATGCATTCAATAATTGTCCTTCGCCGTAAATCCTTATATGTCAGTGGTCACCACAGCGGAACCACTAAATGTTGGTGTGCAGATATAAATGTGTGTGTGTGAGGGTCTTTGTGTCATTAATGTTGGTCTGCAGATATAAATGTGTGTGTGAGGGTCTTTGTGTCAGTAATGTTGGTCTGCAGATATAAATGTGTGTGTGAGGGTCTTTGTGTCATTAATGTTGGTGTGCAGATATAAACGTGTGTGTGAGGGTCTTTGTGTCATTAATGTTGGTCTGCAGATATAAATGTGTGTGTGAGGGTCTTTGTGTCATTAATGTTGGTCTGCAGGTATAAATGTGTGTGTGAGGGTCTTTTTGTCATTAATGTTGGTCTGCAGGTATAAATGTGTGTGTGAGGGTCTTTTTGTCATTAATGTTGGTCTGCAGGTATAAATGTGTGTGTGAGGGTCTTTTTGTCATTAATGTTGGTCTGCAGGTATAAATGTGTGTGTGAGGGTCTTTTTGTCATTAATGTTGGTCTGCAGGTATAAATGTGTGTGTGAGGGTCTTTTTGTCATTAATGTTGGTCTGCAGGTATAAATGTGTGTGTGAGGGTCTTTGTGTCATTAATGTTGGTCTGCAGATATAAATGTGTGTGTGAGGGTCTTTGTGTCATTAATGTTGGTCTGCAGATATAAATGTGTGTGTGAGGGTCTTTGTGTCATTAATGTTGGTCTGCAGATATAAATGTGTGTGTGAGCAGCAGGAGCTGAGGAGGTGGAGCTCTACTGTTTCTTATTGACTGGAAACACTGCTTCACTTTACTCACTAATGTTTTATGCCATATTCCAGTTTTGTGCATAAGTCTAATCCACATCTTTGGATGTGAATAACAGCTAGTCAGAGTGATGTGTTCATGTGGAGTGGATGAATTGATACTGAATGAACAGATATTGATTAACAGTTAATAAATAAACATACCCGTCTCATCTCTGGATCGCTGGGGTTGAAGACTCTCGGGAGGAGGAGGATGACGAGGAGAGGAAGAACCATCATGAGCACCTACCAGAACATGACAAAAGTGTTGGGTAAGTCACTACAAAAAATAATGAATTACTAATGTGGCTTTAAGCTGTATATAAGTGTCTTGAAGAATATCTAGTCTAATATTATGTGCTGTCATCCTGACCAAGAGAAAAGACATCAGTTATTAGAGATGAGTTATTAAAACTATTATGATTAGAAGAAATAAAAGAGGGCTGATAATTCTGACTTTGATAACTGTGTATGTAATGAATTAAAGTAGCGCACCATGGGGTTGAGGATGAAGTCTGTCCATCCCCAGCTCTCGCGCTCCGTGAAGAATCGGTGCAGACCAACACTCCGCATCTGCAGCGGGTACGGCAGCAGGATCACCTCTGACGTCTGGATGTAGTTCACCACACGAGCCCTGCACACACACACACACACACCATCAGGACTGACTCAGGCTATGTCCACATGTACGAAAGATTTTCAGAAGCGTCAGTATGCGCACTTCTCTCCTTTAATTGACCAACATGGCTTTATTCTGACGCAGGGCTCACAAAAGAATCACAGATCATTTAAGCAAGCAGCAAAAGCCATATTTTGAGTGCAGAGAGGAGGACCTCATCGCCCGCACCCGCATTCATCCATCAGACCTGGTCCCGCAGGACTGCAGTCAATACCTCACACACACACACACACCTCATCTTCCCTGCGGAGGTGATGTCCACTCGCACCGGCAGGAATCTGTAGGTCGGTGAGGAGATTTCCAGAACATATGATCCAGACGGGACATTGCTGACTGTGAAAGATCCGTCATCCCTGCAGAACCGGCTGATTATTATACAGAATAATGATGCTGTCAGATCAGACACACAACACTTCCAGTAGCACTGCACAGTGTAGTACCCATATTACTATCGCAATGGTTTTAATAATGAAGGATTTTAGTATGGATGATGAAATTCTGAGCAATCATTCAAAAGCAATAACACAGCGAATTACCGCATCCGAGTTGGATAACTAAGGAAGGGAAGTTTGTCAGAGTGTGTCTAAGGCTGCTTTTACACCTGTGGATTGATTCTAATTTTGCCAGTAACATCACACTAAGGCCTCTTCACCCTTCACTGTGTATTACTCCGCCCACATACAGCCAGCAACAAGCAGAGACGCTACAGTTTGACAAATGTTACTGTTGTTAGACAACACAATGGACTTTTGAGGCTATTTTAGTGGAGAATGTAGTTGTTTGGACTGCAACTATGCAGTTTATTTGAAAGAATGGTGCCTATTTTAAAATATTTACAATTTCTGCAAAAGCTCATCTGCAGCCATTGATGGTTGACGTTGTCTATCCACAAGATGGCGCCAGAACCACATAATAAGCCCCTGCCTAGTGTTTTTTCTTAAGGCTGATTTATACTTCTGCGTCAAACGCCAGCGTATGCTACGGCGCTGACGCATAGCCCTTCGCTGTGGCCGTCGGCGTCGCTGCTGTGCACCTCTCAAAAATTGTAACTACACGTCGCAACGACGCGTAGCGCAAGCTCTGTGATTGGTCGGCTTGGTAGCGCTGATGAGTCTGGGCGGGACCGAGAGCCGCGCGAATGGCGCGAGCTGGACGTGAGCCCAATGGAGCTATTGTTTACAAGTGTGGAGTCCCGTGAAGGAGCTCCGGATGGAAAGTTTTGTTTTGTGTTTACCTCATAGTTAAAGTTGTTGCACGCCCGCCGGTTCCTGCCTCAGCGAGTTTGAGCCACTTGTACATCCAGGAAGTGTTCAGAAAAAGCAAAACAGCAGAGAAGAAACTCGACACAGAGGAACATTTACACCTCACTGCCAACTAGCATTTCGGAAGTGTTAATGCAGACCGACAGAGACAGCGCGCAGAAGTATAAATGCACAGCCACGCGCGTTGCATGCACTGTGGGTCATGCCCGTCGCAGAAGTATTAACCAGGCTTTAAGTGTGGATAAGAAGCTGACAAACGGAAGCCTCGTGGTTTTTAAGGTGGACCAGATAGAGTCAATAAGAAGCTGCGAATAAGAAGCTGGATTCAGCCTCGTCCCTCCTTATCGCAAACACAACAGCAGTCTGATAGTGATTGCTCTGTTCGAGGTTAATTATTGAGATATTGTAACAATCTCCTAATGTTTGATATGCATTGTGTATAAATGTCCCCTTTAAGAGGACTTCTCTAGTTGTTTTACCTTTGGGATGTAAGCACGCATGTATGGGAGCTCAGTTCAGTTCAGCGAGCTCTGAGGAGAAGTGTGTGATGGTCGCTCTACCGCTGTATCATTCTTTTATTTCAATAACGTAACATTTTACATTGCGATGGATGTTTGAGTGTCTTTTTCTTTTCCTTTTGTCTACTCATTATCGTTGACTGGCATGTATGTAGTCGACAGCACTTTGGAGAAGCGCATAAAGGCCAATAGATAAGAAAGAGCAAAATAGTTTCTGTCTCTTTTTTATTCCATAAAGTCTCCGGGTAAACGCTGGGACACCTGGCATCCGTCGCAATACCGATGGCAACAGAGAAATACTCTAGACTGTAATAGACTGTAGGGAGATATCTCTTTATTTTTATACACAAGATTGTGCTGTCGAACTGCTGTATAATGGTGTAGCAGTGTGATATTGCTCATTTATGATGATGAGCAATAAGACATTATAAGCGATAAGCTGCGCTTTATTTTGACACCCACAGACATCATCACCAAATATAAATCAGAGGTAAGACTTTCTCATACATAGCCGTTGGCTAGAATTATGCATTATGGGCTTTACATTATAACAGATACACCAAGACTGCTGTTCAGTCAACTTATTAATGGATAAACAGCTGTCGTTAATGTTTCAGCATGCGTATTTGCGTATTTGACATGAAATGCACATTTACCGGTAGGAATGATGACATCCCACCCTACTCATAATTCTCTCTTCATATAGCTGCATATATGCCTATGACATATCCATAATACAGTGAGGCAGTGGCGCAGTAGGTAGTGCTGTCGCCTCACAGCAAGAAGGTCGCTGAGTCGCTGATTTGAACCTCGGCTCAGTTGGCGTTTCTGTGTGGAGTTTGCATGTTCTCCCTGCCTTCACGTGGGTTTCCTCCCGGTGCTCCGGTTTCCCCCACAGTCCAAAGACATGCGGTACAGGTGAATTGGGTAGGCTAAATTGTCCGTAGTGTGTGTGTGTGAATGTGTGTGTGGATGTTTCCCAGAGATGGGTTGCGGCTGGAAGGGCATCCGCTGCGTAAAAAACTTGCTGGATAAGTTGGCGGTTCATTCTGCTGTGGCGACCCCGGATTAATAAAGGGACTAAGCCGACAAGAAAATGAATGGATGAATATGCATAATACACTGTGATATAGCTTAGATTGGATCTTATTGCTTTCTCACTACAATCGATCCGCTCCAGAGTTTGTTTCTATTGAGTCGGACCACCTCATCCAGGCAATCTCAGACCGATTGTTTTGGCGCGGATCTAAACGCCATTTCTGGATTCACTTATGCCAAACGAACCGCTCTAACTGGGCAAATAAGACAATTTCAGAAACAAAAGTCTAGGTGTGAAAGCACCCTAAAAGTGGAACACAGCCCAAGAATGTCTCTGCTGGTTTTCCAGGAATGTTCCCTCACTGTCAGGAGAACATTCCTAGCAAACCTTCTCTAAATAACCTCAGAGCTCTGGAAAGGTTAGTATTTAATAATAATAATAATAATAATAATAATAAATATAGCTGCAAGCAGCAATTAAGGGGCCAAGCACTTTTGACCATAAGGTGGCGCTGCTCCAGAAGTTTTTAAGGACTTTCAGGACATGGGGTTGAAGATGCATACCATGTTTTGTAATGATATGTGAATATGTTGGTAAAATATAGCATTTTTGGCCAAAAATCGAAATGGGCGACGCCCAAAATGGCTGACCTGTGAAAATCAGACATCATTCGACTTGACATGCTCTGCCGGATGTAATGACACCAGTTTTATGAGTTTCGGACGAAAGGTTGAGACGTTATAAGCCAAAAAACAAGTTTTTTGTATCTCTGGACCACTAGGGGGCAGTGCGCCGAAACTCTGCATGTAACCTCAAACCCTAGTTGTCATAACACACACCAAGTTTGGTGTGAATCGGTGAATGCGTTACAGAGATATCGTCTCAAGTCCATCTTTGCAAGTTCTACGTTAAATTTAATTGCAAGTTAAACGAAAACGTTGGTCAAATCAACTTGAATTCCATAACTTTTGGTTGGCATGGTCTGTAGATCATGTGATTCAATTTTAGTGATAATCGGAGAAACGGCCTAGGACGAGTTCGATCAAATAGGTTTTTCGAATAATTTAAAATAGCGCGAAAAAATTCATGACGGAAAATGACGTCATAGGGTGCGTTTGAATCGGACTGAGCCAAGGAATCAGAGAAAAAAAGAAATTTGATTGTAGCCCATTTGGTTCAAAAGTTATCATGATAAACATACATG